ATCCCTAATTAAAAACAGTTATCAGCCCCTCTAATACCTCATGAAAAATAATGATAAAAATAAATAAGTATGATTAAATTTATGATTCTACTCAAAAATCTTATTTGACTTTGATAGATGACAGTCGTTGGTAGTTGCTTTTTAATTTTTTTTAAGTCGTTGATAATTATTAATGATTTTAAAATTTCAATAAACATCATTTGATTATTAAACACACGATAATTTTATTTAAAATTGGTATAAGAAGATGATGATTTAAAACGTTATATTTTTATTTTTCCCACATTGTTTTAGAAAAACTTTAAAAAGCTAAAACGAAATATATAGTCTTAGCTTTGAAAATAATAAAACAATACTCCTTTCTTTACACTTTAGAATTAATGATCTTCCCACTATTTTTTTTTTTGTACATTAAAGTTTAGGTTATGAGTGGTAGGGTCAGTACATAGTTAAAATTTAATTGAGATTTATATAGAAATTTATAGATTGTCTATCAAGAGTGACAGTGGTAGAATTCGAACTTGACCTTACAAACTTAAATTTTCATTATTATTGTCATTAAGTTAATAGCAATAAAGTAATAATTAATAAAAGGAACTTGGCAAATAAATGTTTTCAGATTAATAAAAAATCAATAATAATACGAGTGAGCAAGAAAAATAACAATTATACTCTTAATCAACAAGTTATATATTTATCTTCGTGTTTTTATTTAAAACAAATACTACTAAAAGCTAAATCACAATTGCCTATGGTACACAGGTATACTTGTCATGAATCATGATCAATTGTGGTATCATATATTAAAAATTTGGATGTAAAGATTTTTTTCCTGGTTTAAAAGGGTTTGTTTTAGAATATCCTGGCCGTTTGATTCTTAAACCTAGGAAGTTGATGTGCTAGATTCTTGATGATTATATAATGCAAGTGGGTTGACCTACGTGCTATAATGCCATTCCTCCCAAAGGCGAGACTCATGATGCCATGAGATGTGGGGAACATAAATGTTGTGCTCACATTCATGTCTTGTTCATTACACGGTGAAAAGAGAGAGCATAAGATCCAACCCTTTATGATCACAATTATGCATTTGGATGACAAATAAAAACTTATAAAAAGAAATAATGTATAATCTCTTAATAAAATACCAATATTTCAGGGATTAAAATTCAATTAACTCTTTGATTTGTAAAAGTGTTGGGTGCGAATGAAAGAAAAAGAAAAGTCGCTTTCATTTTTGTTCCTTTTTACAGTAACGTCAATACTTGAAACTAAAGTTTCCAGCCTTTATGCCGGTGAAGTGTGTATAAATAAACGAAAAGTAGAGTGATCTTTAACAAAAGGGTTGGAGAATAGGCCGAATGACATAATATAAAATGGCACGGATGAAAGCAAAAAAAGAATTCACCAATATACTTTATTGGATAAAAGGAACATTGAAGTTTAGCAGAGCTCACAAGGGAGAAAAGCAAAAACAACAAACAATGATTCTGAACCATGTGATGAACATAAGTCAAATGGGCACTACAAGAAAGAGGAAGAAAGATCCAACGGTTGAGAATAAGCAAAGTCATAATTGAGACTGGACCCCAAGGTTGATGGGTAAGGGGCTGGGTCGTATAATGGTGAAAAGGTGTGGGGACGGATCTAAAACGACTCGAGTGTGGGAAAGAAATAAGAGAATGGTTGAGATTTTTCACCCTTGTTAACATCTCCTGTTTCTCACCAAAAATGACGAGCCATGTGCAATCCAAACAAAAGTTACCTAAAAAGAAACCACATTATTTCATTTGTTAAAATTGGATCCCTTGTAATCTTTTGTAACTTAAAACTTTTATGTCAAGATTTTCTTCATTTCGGCTTATTATTTATAGCAACAATAGATTGTTCCAAAGGGGTAGTGACAGGCCTGCAAATGTTTTAAAGATTAGGGCTAATAGGGACAACCATAAAAGATTCTGGATTTACAAGCAAGACAGCAGATCTACCTAAGCTATGATTTCATTAGATGCCTCATAAAAGTTTAGATTGTTGAAAGGATTGCAGCAGTTTGTGAATCTTCAGCGAGTCAGGGTACAACTGCCAGGAAGGCTCAGCATTGAGAGCCAGAGATCCTGGCTGGTAAAGGAGCCCAGAACTTGGCCGAATATAATGAAAAGTCCCACCTCCTGCGGCAAAATAAACTGGACGGGGAAACCAAATTTTACAGACAAGGGAAAAAATATCTAAACGTAAAAATGCAAATTCTCACAAAGGTTAATGGGGAATTTACCTAAACTTGGACTTTTTGCGATATGTGGAATACATTGAGGAATAATACGGACAAGGAATAAGATGGGGTCCATCTGCAAGCCCTGTTCCTTCTTCTTTCTATGGTTCCAAAATACTGAAATAGTACAAAGGAATTGACATTTTCCCCAAGATTCTCTCTTTTATCTACAGGCCTTTCTTCATTTAACCCAGACGGAGATAGTGTAACACCCAAGGATCGATGAAACAAAACCAGGAGTTGCTTTACAGGCTTTGGCTATCTTTGTCGATTCCACCAGGGAGTAAAATCCAAAGTTTCGAATAGCCGGTAATATTGAAAATGCCAAACCGCCATTAATAACGACCGTTCATCGTTTCAAAAAGGCATCCATGGAAATTCATACAAACAGGACAGTCGTACTTGCAAATCGAAAATCTTTTGGAGGAGGGAAGTATTACCGTCGGACCTCATGGGATTTTTATGCTTCTATTTTCTAAATCGTGTAATTAACCCTTATATTTCAATTTATTAAAATTTAGTCATCATGTCTTATAAAAACTGTAGATGTAATAATACAGTCACACCTTATCAGTTACCATTTTGACTTAAAAACCAACAATTTAATAGTTATATGTAATTAATAAACAAGAATTAATCTTTCAATATTTTTTCATGCAACAAATTAACAGCTTTATATTTTTGCATGCAAGAATTTAACAACTCTAAATTAAATATGTCTCTTCTAGTTTGGTGTCCACGTAGATAAAAGACGACTGTAAATCTAATTAGACGTGACTTTACAAATATTGTTATTAGACACATTTTCACCTATATGGCACACTAAATTATAAAATTTTGTAAATATTTTTTTAGATATTATTACGTTAAATCGTCAAAAATAATAGTATTATTTAAGTGGGAAAAAAACCTTGGGCTCGTAGCACTAGGCCAGACCTTGAGCTTCACTAGTTTTCTCGCAAGCAGTGAACTAGAAGTGCACGTATTCACAACAACAACAATGACAGACAGGCAACCAGTAGATCTGAAAGTTTCGATTACTTCCTTCCAAGCTGTTTCCTTGTTTTATCATTGTCTTTTGTCATGGCTTGTTATGATTTTTAATTGCTCACCAACTATTAATATATTTTTAATGCTTTCCACACCAGATTTAGATCAATTCATTAAACCATCATTGATTCCAACAGGAGTTAAATTCATGTTAATGCATTTATTCAGGAGATTAAAATCATACAAAAAAGTAAAGGTTGGGAATGTTTTTCTACACCTGAACTTTTGTCCCCGTCAAGTCTCGTCTCTAAGTAGAGAGTGGTAGTGAAATTTACAACAACATTGGTGTATTTCAAATTCACCCAAAAACCTAGGAAACTTTAGTTTGTAATAAATAATTAATCACCAATGTATTTTATTTTACCCCCACAATATGGATTGATCAGATCTTCGCTATATTGGAAACGCCTTTTAGTTTTAGTGGGATTAGGTTGGGGCATTGATAGTATATATAAAATAAAACCCCTTTTGTAGTGTACCCTGTTAGCATATATGTGACCGGATCGTTTACATATAGGGTGCATGCATATGGCCGAGTGATATTTTGCATTTGCATTTGCGTTGTTTGTCTTGTAGCGTGATCTTGGGTCGTCAGTTGGCAAAGCAGGCCAAAAGTAAGAAGGATTATGGAGGGCTTCGACACCGTGTTTCCACATTCCACGTGGTGGGTTCACGCTCGACCAATTATCATGCAACTCATACCTTATATTCTATGGTGGATGGAAGAAAAAGGAGGATTCCATTATGGAAATCGGAATACGGATTACTATTGAAAGGGGATACTAATGAGGTACTTCTAGTGGATGGGGTGATGCCCTACCAATCTGATGGGTTTTATTGCAAAAACAATGGCGGCTGGGTTTTCATCAGCAAAGTAAACGCAGAACTGAAGAAGAAAGCATAGTGTTGTAAAGAAAATCCACCACATCTATACGCTCTTTTTCAACCTACTGACCTTCAACCATTGTTTCCATGTGCATTACCATCCGTGTATTAATTGGATATCCACAAACTCTCTTTTGCAGACTACGACACTTCTTATTCGGTTTCAAATCCAATTATATATCCAAAGCCCCATGTTTGCACCTGCAAACTTCACAAAGCAATCAAATTATGACTCCATATCTTTTGAATCCAGACATAAAACTTAATTTGAAAAGAAAAATAACTTCAAATTTTACATTTTTGTGACTTTATGCAACATATTCAATACCTCTACTATATATATATATACATATTCACACATAATAAAAAAGGAATAGGGAAAAATATTCGATCTGATTATCTATATTTCTCGGATATTTGATTTGAATTATCTAAAAATTAAAAAATGAATCAAATCAACGGATTGTATCAAATATTTTCATATACCCCTAATTTCATTTGAGTCATTGTAGCCTATACGCCCTCTTTTTACCTGTTGTAGGCTGTAGCCTGTGTTATCTGTTTTGGGGTCACCTTCTCAATTGAATTGAGAAGAAGTTTTAACAAATCTAAGTACAAGATTGAACCCTTTGTAGTGAGTAAGAGGTTCACTTCCTCCCCATACCTCAGCTTTAACCAATTGATATCGATTAACAAAAACTGGGCCTCATTATTACTGGGTCCATGCTGCTTGCTAAATTGGGCTCTGCTACCAACTGCATTCTAGAAAATTTTCGAGACAAAAAAGAAGGGATTGAAAATCAATGTATTGTAGAATTAAAGGGTCAGCGTGGATGGCCGAAGATATGCATTCTATATTGTTAGGCAACCCTACTGTTCTTCTTGCCGTGATCCTCGGTAGCACCATCATTTTTATTCTATTGATCCAACCGCGCCACCTGCTATATTCTTCTCCAAAGGCGGATTCCATGGCTGCTCGGAGCTTTGTTCTTTGGCTTCACGGGCTTGGTGACTCTGGCCCAGCTAATGAACCCATCAAGACTCTCTTTAGGTCTCCCGAGTTCCGAAACACAAAGTGGTCTTTCCCTTCTGCTCCTGAAAACCCCGTCACCTGCAACTGTAAGCTTCATCATTTACATTATTCTCGAACTGATTCTGCTTATTGACTTTTGTTATTGTGTTTTGAATGAAATGGTGTACATAGATCTGGTTATTTCTAGTTTAATTGGAGTTTCAGTGTAATTTGTGGCAGTTAATACGCTGAAACACTTTGGGGATAAATGTATCGGAATAGGAGTGGGTGACGATGATAAACTTCAAGCACGGAATCCCGTTTCTTATTTGAAATTTATTACGTTAATTTGTTCGTTTTGTCCAATTATAAGATGGTATTCCAATTGTACTAGTAAGAGAGAACGGGGTGGAGCTAACGGGAACAAATTCTTAGCAAAGGGTTTGTTTAATTTTTGCACAGGGTTTCGATGTCTTAACTGTTCACGATCTTTCAGCATTGGTGTGGAAAATATTCTTAGTCGCCCTTTTGCGACTGTGTATGCTTTGATTGCTCATCTATAGAGGTTTGACTACCGTGACAGACGGATTATTTCTCTTAAAAGTTCTATCTATCAGACAATTTAACTGGTGTCACAAGTCTAAGAGAATGACGTTGTTTAGAATAGTTGATTATCATTCATAATGATACCACAATTGTTATTTCTGATATATATTTCACTGGCAGATGGAATGGGGATGCCTTCTTGGTTTGACATCCATGAGATTCCTGTGACAGCTGTAAGTGTTGCTTGTTCTCCTTCCATATCATTTATACCAATACTGCTGGGACATTTCTGTTTGAGATGCCTTTTAGGTATCAGTATAACAAATTTATGTACACTTCATTGTTGATTCGTATATAGAGTGGGTGGTATGAAATACTGCCTACTATTGCTTATTAGCAAAGAGTAGATTATCTAATGTAGGAATATGAGTTACATCTCTGTTGTCCTACCATTGGTCGTCTGTTTTAACATTAATGCATATGCATGCATGCTTAGAAGGACTAAATCATTGCAAGTTGTGGGCTTTCTGTCACAGCCAGATTCTGCGTATGCCATGGATCATAAAAATGCACAATCCATGGATTTTGTTATGGTTATTAATTGACTGAATTCTTTTTCATAGGAAAAATAGCATAGATGGCCCTTTGCACATGCTTTTCACTTTTAATTTTCAAATTTCTATTTTCTGATTATTTCAACACAACATGAATAGTGGCCTTGAAGACAATTCCCTAGTGGGGTCAACCTGTGTCCTGACAGTAAGTTCTAAGCTTCCAATGTTCATGAACTTCATTATAGTTTGGTACTTGTTGTGCCATGTATCAGGTGAACGATATTTGCGTTAGGCTATTTGTAAATGCCATGCAAATGTTTTTCTTTACTTTGTTGTTTCTCTTGAAAAAATCACACCATCTTACAATCAATTACCTTTTTCCATCATGATGATGTGAATGCTCAGCTCACGTGCTCCTGATTCAGTTAGATGGTTGGTTTTGCTTATATATATATATAGGATTCTCCAAAAGCTGAAAGTGATGTCCTTAAAGCTGTTCAGAATGTGCATGCCATGATAGACAAAGAAGTGGCTGCTGGGACGAATCCTAATAATGTATTTGTGTGTGGATTTAGTCAAGGAGGTAGGAAGTCTCTCTCCAAGGATCATAGCATAATTCACTGCATTACTTGTGGTATGTTGCAAGTTTAACGACTTCTTACAGGTGCCTTGACCTTGGCTAGTGTTCTGTTGTACCCTAAAAAGCTTGGTGGGGGTGCAGTCTTCAGTGGATGGGTTCCTTTCAATTCTTCAATAATAGAAAAGTTCCCAGAAGATGCAAAGAAGGTGATTTTCATCAAATGCTCCAAGTTTATCCAGTACTTTATCACATTCCTTTTTCCCATCTTATTTGGAGCCTGCAAACCTAGAAATATCAGCAGATATTAGATTCTTAATGTCTTGTTATCAGAAAGTATTCTGTCAATTGCATTTAATGCTTTGTAATTGATTTATATCTTTTGACTAGAATATCTGCTTGTCTGAGATATATTTCCAGCTTTGTGAGAGCATCAGTCCTAAACTACCATTGCAATCCTAATTCCTGAAGATGCGATTGCTAATTGTGTTTGTTATGATTTCATGGTTAATAATATGTCATCTGCTGCTGGTTTTCTTAGATTATGAAATCTTCCTGAACTAACTCGATTATCCTAATATTTTGAAACATCCTTATGAATGGTGCGACACCTGAAATTTTGCAGACACCTATTTTATGGTCCCATGGAATGGCTGACAAAACTGTACTTTTTGAGGCTGGACAAGCAGGGCCCCCTTTCCTTGAACAAGCAGGAGTAACCTTCGAATTCAAGGTGTATATGCCAAATATTCAACCCCCCCCCCCCCCAATTTTCTGCTACTTTTTGTATGGCATCTGCTGATCTGCCGAAATTCCTATGCTACTACAGGCTTATCCTGGTCTTGGCCATTCAATAAGCAACGAAGAGCTGCAGTTCCTCGAATCATGGATTAAGACTCGTCTACAAAGTTCTTCTTAAAGGTTTAAATATCTTGAGAATGGCATCTAATTATCGTCATTGATTTTTAGTGAAATTGTTAAATAATTAAATATTACAATACATGTGTGGGTAACGTATGAAGATATTTTTCATCTCCGGAATGTTATAAGTTGGGATTGTTGCTTTATGTGAAACATAAGTTTCTAAACTTGGAGTACAGAGAAGGTTGTATGATCCAACCTCTTCAGTTTCATAGCAAACCGTTACCTACCAACAGTCGCATTTATTTGATTTAGGCAGGAAGGAATACACACAAAGTACCTAAAATTCCTCGTACTGATTATAGCCCCGCTGTTAGCTGGGAATTCTCTATTCGGCATTTACGTGAAAGAGCCAGGTTTGTTATTTGTTGCATGCAATTGATCTTTTATAGTAAACCCAAAAAAAGATTATATATTTTACCACTAAATTATAGGCTCTAGCAGCATTGCTTAAACTGAAATGAATTCAGTGTGTAGGTTGGTGGAATAGATGGAAGAAAAGATGTCGCCCTGGCAATGTATCTTTTGCTTAGTTGCTAATTAATCGATACTGGTATCTTCTTATTTATATTTGATGGCGGCTATGCTAATGTGTGTTTTTGACTAGTTCTAGTTATTCAATTAAGAAATGATGCGCTTGCACGAGAGTGTCCATGATTGTGTAAATTTCGAGCTTAAAGCCGTATATTAACAGAGTCAGAAAAAGAGAAGATTCAAACCTGGACCTATGCATTGCCTCCAGCTTCGAATCCTAGTTCCTGGAAGGTCACGGTTAAGAGAGAATTGGGCCGGTTCATGGGTCAGCTAAACTTAGCCTCAAACCGATGCATGAGTGGCATCCTTTTGTAGTTGTTCAAGAGTGCCATTGGTATTGGTGCCCACCCACCAAACCTATTTGATTACATTAACGTATAAATCGGGACAGTGAAGTGAGGTCTCCTTGGACAAATGGAGAACAATCACCATCACTGCACCAACTGCAACTCAAAACGACATGGACTAATGCTCTAATGTATTATTTGTTTTCTTTAAAATTATACCATGAGCTTTTATTATTTTTATTTAATATTATATTTAAACAGCTTGGTAAAAATATTATATGTAAATAAAATAATATTAATAATAATAATTTAACTTAATTATAAAATTATTTAAAAACTAAAACCAGACAATAAAATTAAACATTAAAAAAATAAAAGTTGAACTTTTTTAAGATATAAGTCGTTTAACTTTGGAGACAAATGGTTAATTAATCCTATAAAGAGAGATTTCAATTCACTCCACTCTGATGAAACCATTTAAGACCCGCGATGCACTTGACCGCACAGTTCCCCATACTAATGTCCCCCAAATCCTAAACCACGTCATCGACCTATTTTACGTTATGTTATTCTCTCCCTCGTAAAATACTAATAAAAGCCTCTTCAACCTTTCAAAAGTCATAACTACTCTGTCTCTCTCTCTGGCTGATAACTAAACTTGACCATGAAGAAGATATACCGGAGAGGCACGGTTCATCCATCACCTCCGATCACAACCGATCTTCTGTCCTTCCTTCCTTCCACCATCTTAACCCTCGCGGCTGCTCTTTCCCCAGAAGACAGGGAAGTCTTGGCATATCTCATCTCTTGTTCTAACAACGATTTCGGCAACTTTTCAACCCACGGCAAAAACACCCAAAAATATCCGATAAAAAGAAGCAGCAGCCGAGGCGCCATCGATCCTAATCATCCACCTCTTTTTACATGTTATTGTTTCAGGTGCTACATGTGTTACTGGGTCAGATGGGACTCGTCGCCGAACCGGCAGCTGATACACGAGATAATTGATGCTTTTGAAGATGGGTTACCTCAAAGCAAGAAGACAAAGAGCAAGAAAGAAAGGAGAAAGAAAAACGGCGGTGATGGGTCTGGTGGCTTGAAACAAGTCGATTTGAGCTTAAGAAAGGATGAGTCGAGTGAGTTGAAATCGGTAGAAACGAGTAGCAGTAACAGTGGTTGTGGTGGTGAAGTTTGTGGGCACGATGGTGAAGAAGAAGGAACAGAGAAGGGTACAGTTAGGAGGCTCGTGAACTTCATCGGAGAGAGGTTTTGGAATGTTTGGGGGCAGTGAATTTAGGCGAGGATCCAAGAAAAGAGGAGGGTTTAACTCCCCCATCCGATTTTTCTGAGTAAGAGAAAGAACAATGGAATTTCAAAACTCCCCCCCCCCCTTTCTTTGTATATTAAACCCTTTTACAATGTAAAAATGGGTAGTATAATCTTTAAATCAATCACGTTTTTGTTGCTTTTGAAGCAGCCTTTTGATAAGAGATATTATTGTCCTCCACCTTTTTCTTCTTGTTTAAGCTATCAGTTCAATACATTTACCATAAATAGACTTGAACTTTGTTATAAAATCATGCTTGATGGAAACTAGAGATCAGAAAATGGATAATCTTTGATTTATTTTTCCACAGTGAAGCAAATTTGTTTCTTATATTCTCTGTGTTTCTGATTATTTGCATCAGCGGTGGAATTGAAATTGAGGAATGACAAACGATTTTGTCACTGAATCAAGTGCTGGGGGTGTAATGAAGATACACTGCAACTATCAACCCCAACATGCTTACAATATTGATACATAAGAGAAAAAGTATAAGATTGGCTAGTGATGTTGTTCTTATCTACTTTAATCAAACAATTACTTTATGTAGTTGGTATTTGTTGAAGACTTTCTTCTTGTTCCCTTCAACTTGTGCTTGCCATGCTTGTATATTTTGTATTAATTGCCACTTGCCTGAGTTGGAATCTTCATGAAACATAGATACCTCCAAATAAATTAACAGTGGGCATGCATGGTGACTGAAAAGGGTGTAGGCGGCAATATACGGGCGTTTCTATTGAAATATCACCCTTAGACCTAATAATTATCTGTACGGTATCATTTCTCTTAGTATTACCAATTTAGCACCATTTTTGACATGGAATCAATAAAACGCGAATCTTCAGTCGCGTTTTCACGGAGTTTTGTTCGAGCCGTTACCACGTAAGGAAAGACGCGAATGGTCATTCTTACCTTTGCTAAACCTCAGATATGTCTGGAAGGCGCAGATTCAATCGAACCGTTCATCTCCCAAATTAATTATCACTCATCCCCCTCATCTCTCCCTATAAATACTACACTCAACATAACACTAACTACATTCAAATCTCAAATTTTCTCATTCTTCTTATTATCAATCTTTCTATTAAGAATATAAAATATTTTTATTATATTATAATTATTTAATAATTTATTATTTTATTAAATTTTATTATATTAAATTTTATTACTTTTTGCAGTTATAAAATGGAAGGCGATTTGTTACGTTTATATGAGAATTATATTTCAAGACATTTTGTCGATACGATAATAATTTTAAATTGTGTTGTTATTTTAATTATTGTGAATATTTTATTTATTTAATTTTTTAGTACTAGTTTATATTTTAATTTGTATATTGTTTATTAAATTAGAAGAGATATCATATATTAGATCAATTCATTCGTAACGTTAAGTTAGAGATACCTACTCGTGTTTGGCCGTATTTAGCCAAAGTTGGATTCGTTCCGGAGAGAAATATGAAGGGAACTGTAACCTTGAACCCAACCTTATTTTTGTATTGGTTAAGAGGTGGAGACCATAGACATACACATTTCATATTTAGTGTGGAGAGTGCACTATTACGTTGTAAGATGTTTTTATACATTTGGGGCTACTCATAGATGGGGATGTGATTTCTAGGGTGGCGGATGGTGACTGGCATTCCTTGTGTGAGGAGTATCTTGGAGGTGTCCTGCCTAATTTCAATGATGGTCGAATACCTTTAAATTGGTTGGATACAACTTTTCAACATTTGAGTCGTGAGGCCTCCGGGGAACAAGTTAAAATGTATGTACAAGTTTGCATATTACAACTCATAGGAGGGATCCTGATGTCCGAAAAATCACGCAACCAAATTCATTGTATGTGGTTGCATCACATAGCAGATTTCACGTTGTCAGTGCACTCAGTTGGGGCTTCGCAGTTTTGACATTTCTGTATAGGAAATTGTGTCAAGCAACTATTTATTGAAAAAAATGTTATCGGTGGATATATCTTTCTTATCCAGTCTTTAGCGTGGTATCGCATGCCCTTTTTATGTACGGTCGTGAAAAACTCGTTAGTATTCTCGCTATTGTTAAGGTAATTTCAATAAAATTTCATTATATACTCAACAAAATTATTTATATATGAATTCAGTATTGAAATTACTTAGGTGGTCAAGGGCAAGAAAAGATCATCAGGATCTACCGGATAAATTGGAAGAAATTTGGCTACTCATTGATCAGAATGTTGATACAGAGATATGTATCTAAATGTAATTATTTACTTTTACTTATCGTTATATAATTAGAATAATATTTTGATAAGAATTATATATATATATATATATATATATATATATAGTTTCAATGAGCTCCTTATTCTACTGAAAAAATGAGGATTTGTATCCCAAATCACTCGAGAGGCCCATTAGATGTATGGATGTTGGTGGCCCTCTTATATGTTATACTATTATCGAGTAACATCCTATTGATCACGTGCTCCGCTAATTTGGTTTCGTACAATCTATTTCGGAAATGATATGCATCATATCATCGATAAACGAGGCAAAAAGAAGTCGACTGACTGCTGAAGCACATTGAGTAGGTAATGATATGAGAGGATCGACATGGACTCATTCTCTATACGAAACCAATTTATGTGGATGATTATTCTGTTATAGATGATTATTATTAGTGGTTTAACACGAATGGAAAATCGTTCCTACTTTCCGGGGAAGCACGAGGTGGCAACATTCATCGATGCCGATAAAGACGTCCACAATCACAGCATCATTGTCCCCCAACTCATGGACAAAAACAAATGCTTTTGGCTCGTCCTTAACTGCAGCACTAGAACCATCACAACAGTCACCGTCTATACCGGTGTACATTCTACAACCGTTTCAGATGGCACCACAATCGTATCAGATGACACTGCAACCATTTCAGATGCCACCGTTTTCAGGTTAGACGCCATCATTTCCATATCAGATGTCACCGCAACCAGCTTAGATGCCACCACAGTTGGTTTAGA